CAAAAATGACAAATGACAAAAATACTGACTGTTAAATGAAGTTAACTCCTCCAGTGCTGCATTCCGCTACTAGATCTTGTTCATGTGGTACATTTTTACTGAAGGGGTGTTTGTTATAATCAGTTTTTATTTTATTTACTGATGGTGTTAAAATGATTTTAAAGCATGTATGCTCAGTGTTTGACACAGTAATCTCGTTTCCATCCCAGGCTATGTTCGAGTTTGAGGAACTTGCATCTTCTCCCCATATTTCCGTGTTTACTCTTGCTTGTGGACATACCACACATACTGTGAGTGTGCTCCCTGCGATGGACTGGCACGCCACCCCTGTCTCATGACCCACGTTTCCTCAAACAGGCTCCCGGCTCACCGTGACCCAGCGCCAGTAAAAGATAGATGCAAAAATATTTTGAGGTAAAAGAAAAATAAATATGAGTCGGTACACTGCCGTGGGAGTCCACTCTGATGGCCAGGCTAGAACATTTACCACCAAAATCAAATGTCATGGCAACCTTTCTACAAGTAGCTTATATTCCAGGAAAAATACAGACAATACCAGCAAATAACACGCAGCCAGCTGTTTTGTCGTGCAGCATTTTACAGGAGAGCAGGCTATTATAACTCTGTTTTCGCTGTTTCTCACTGTAAATGGGAGAGCAGGTTTCTGTTGTGTAAAAAAAAAAAAAAAGATCACTTTGTTTCTCTGTGTCCGATAAATCAGGACAATCAGTGAATTCAGTAGCATTCTGCAGTTTCAGGGTGAATGTTAGGGAAAGAGGAGAAACATGTCTGCAGAGAAAATAGAAAAGACATTGTGAAAAAAAAAACTACTTATCACCATTATATAACCCCAGTAATCACCCATTCAGAAACTGCTACATAATTGCTCTTTGCAAACCAGGCCTCATAATGGGTGAACGTGCTTCTGGCTGTTTTCATGCAGCCTCTGCTGGTGAACCAGTCCTAACACCTGAGCCATGGATCTCAGGTACTCCTGTCCAGATCATGTCAATTTCCTCTGCAGTCTCAAGAACAATAGCATTTTAATTAAAGCACAAGTACATAAGTAACGGTGATTTGTGTTGACACAAGCGTCCAATGACATGACGAATTAGAAAACAACGTACAATTGATTATTTTCTGTTGAGCTTATTTTGAACATGTTAATCTATTATAAACAATAACTATACCAACCGTAATTTACGGTGGATAAATCACCTTCTATTTGCCAGAAAATAAATCATGTATTTTGCAGGATAATTAATGACCTACTGAATCATTAACCCTTTGCAGTACACAGTGTATATGTGAGTTTGCATGTATGTATATTACCTTGTTTTCCTTGATCGTAAGAAGGATACAATGAGGTTTCTATGGTTTCCATGACAGCATGATGGAGTACGGAGGACAGCTTGGTCATAGAACTTTACCATCAGTCATCTTAATTATGCCAGGGTAAGAAAAGATGTTTCAGAGAGAGAAAAAAAATGTGAAAAAAAACTATTAAATAGTTAGTTGCAATGCTCAAACTTTGGAGTGTGGAAGAGCACCAATCCTGACTGAGGTGACCGGGAGCTTAAACCCAAATTAATATACTGATTTATGATTCCTGTCTCCTTTTTCAAATGAGTCTTTTTTCACATGCTTTTGGTTCACGAACTGATTTCAGCAAGGGGATTTACAGGGAACAAGACAACTTATTGGAACAAAGTTACTTTCACTTTTACACTCGGTGTTTCGTTTAAGCACATGATAATCATGGCCGCCAGCCTTCATTCTGAACGCCTGGCACAGGGTTAGCTAACGGTCTCTGAAGGGCTCATTCATTCTACATGACAGACACGCCGAAGGACGATTTGGGTGCATAAGCGCTCTCTCAAGCATAGATCTTATGGCAAGCTAAAGGATCAGCAACTGGAGGTAAACTCCTCACAGCATCGTTAGTAATTCTGCATTGACTAACAAGACTGAAAAGCCATCTGGCATTTCTAGTCCTCGCTGGCAGGGATCTCCGCCTTTTCGAAAGACTAATTTTACAGTTATCTGAGATTCGGTCCTTTGTTTAAAATCATCAGCCGTAATCCCCCCCCCCCCCCCCAACTTGGCTTTCCATTTGGATTTCCAGGGTATTGCATACTTCCAAGAAATTTATGAAAACGCCCTTATTGAGATTCGAGGACCATGCAATCTAATTTTAGCGTCATGTCACATGAGTATCCGACATTTAATAACAATTGATACTTTATTGATCCCCATGGGGAAATTCTCTTCACATCTCCCCCAGCTTACTCTCTGTAAGTGAAAGCAAGCTGACCACAAAGGGCAGCCGGCCATAGCGGCATCCAGGGGGCCGGGGGTTAAGGGCCTTGCTCAAGGACCCACAGAAGTGGGGAGGCTGGGCTCAAACTGGCAACCATGTGGTCACACGAAGCCCACTGAGGCACACACAGGGCCAATTCAGCATAGATACTCTGCCTTCAGACCTGACTTTCTCTGTTAGCCTTGAGGATGAATGCAGATTCATGTCTGCTCAAATACTATGGAGACCACGCTTTGCAACATCCAATCAGCAGCAGATGCAGAAGATGAATCCTAATCTAAATAATCTTGCTTTTTTTCTCCCCTCGCAGATACTTTTTTTTTTCCTTCCTTGCCCTGATCGCTAAGGTGTCCGTGTAGCTCTGCGATGGTCGGGGAAAATCAGCCTCGATGGCGTGAAACGGAAATATATAAAGAAAAACACAGATTTGCTGCGGCAGTGGTCCAACGAGGCCACGATTCGATTAGAAGGGCTGGGGATAGCATGAGGTGTAATCAGCGGAAAACAGAAAGGAATGAAACCCTTGGGGTGCAGGACCGGCCAGCTGGCCAGAGGTGGAGGCAAGAGCTGTGGCCTAACCTAGAGAAACCTGAAGGAGAAGCGGAGAACCTCAGGATGCCTGCAGAGATCGGACACACGGCGATGGGCCAGAACGCCACGTTGGACAGCCAACGGGTCCGAGCTCTGAGGCACGAGATCGAAACGTGATCTTCTTTGGCTTCCTGAGGAGCCAGAAGTCGTTTTTATTCATGTCCTCCATTTACCATAAGCATTCATCATAACCATTTACCATAACCAGTTGCCTAGTACAGGGTACTAGTGAACCAAGCAAGAAACAATCCCACAGCGGACGGGCTGGGGACGAGCTGCATGGGATGCTGTGCCAGGACAAATTATAGTGAGGTCAATCCCAAACTACAACAGGAACAGTAACTGTGAATTTTACAGTGAGAGGAGGTGGTCCTGTCAAAAGTCCCTAAGCCTCATAAACACCTAGCATAACATCCGGAGGACCATTTTGTGCAAAGGTTTGCTGAATATGCCTGGTGTGTATGTTTCTCTGTCTGACACTTTCTTAGATATTGTTGTCCTACCGTCTTCATTCCCATTCTGTGGGGAATTGATTTATTTATTTATAAGTATAGACCATTCAGTTTGTACATATAACTGACTAGCACTTCTGATGCTCCGTAGAACACAAAGATGTTTGCAACTAACACTTCTCTAACAATCAAGCTATAGATACCATTTTTTCAGTGTTTAGTCAACAGAATTGAGAGTAGTACCGCCTTTAATGGGCCCTCTATACCTCTACAGCACGATCATGAGGTGCTTTCAAGGCCTTGTGGGGCAGTTTATTGGAAGTGTTACATAATTTCAGAATAAACGCTATAGGAAGACTATAGCTACATTTTTTTTTTCATTGCATATTGGAATGATGTGGACTTTAATCCAGAATGGTGAGCCAGTGACATAATTAAATCCATTAAATCTCATTAAGAAAAAGGAGGAGAGTCACAAGCCGTTAAATTGTAAATGCATTGTGCAAAAAAAAACAACGTTCAAAACAAACTCTTAATGTGTACAGATGTCGAAAGAAAAAAAATAAAATCAAAAAGTAACCTAATATAAAATATTAATGAGGCCCGCCATTGTTTCTGTCAAAAATGTTATAATTTATAATAATGATAATAATAATAATGATGGTGATAATGACAGATGCTGTATGGCTGCAAGTAACATTCCCACGTCGTTTTTCGTTAAAAGAAAAACAGGGAATCGTGATGTCGCTCCTGTTCTCACTTTCTTTTCCGGTTATTTTGAGGTTTTGCGTATCACCAAAGACTTCAAATACTCCTTCATTAGCATACGTCGCCTATTTATGGTCTAGCGTTCATAAAAAAATGCCACTATAATAGATTGTGCAAACCTGGTGTATGAAATGAATATTGCATGCCTTTTCTGATTAAGATCTAAGGGTAAAGTGTGGAAGGGAGTAAAGGTGGTTCCTGTCTGATGAGTGTAACGGCAAATCTTTTGTTTCTAACAAACTCTGAAAGGGGAGAATGAAAAACAAATTTACCTGAGCGAGGGACTCTCATTATGCGCATATTGATTTGCCTGTATGAAATTTTGGCGCACAGTAGTTTGCGGTCGTATGTTAATACTGAGCTGATCCCGCGTTAAGGGCTGTTGTCTGGAAGGCGGTTGCCTTGCATTTCAATTGAATTTGTGCCTCTGGTCATAATGAATTTTAACCACGATGAACTCCTCCCGCAGTGAACCAAGCTACTTGCAACGTATCCCAATAACATCAAAGCTTTTGAACCCCCAAAACAGTACATGAAATAACAGCGACACTGTTACTATAAAAGATGCCATGCTAGGATCCTCAATAACATTAATAACAAGTGGATAATTCACATACTCAACACAACTACCTGTCACTGCTAGATTGTGTAAAACACTACAATACGCATGGTTTTTAAATGACGGAGAATCCTAGCCTAAACCAGAACTACATACACGTCGTATTTAATCTTTAATTAAAAATGGGTGTTTCTTCATGCCTTCTGGCGCACGATCTTCAGTTTGCGCTCAACAGTCAGCACACTGGCTGTAACTAGAATTGCACTCAATTGTACAGAAAACGCACTAGATGGAGGTGGTGGTGGTAGTGGGGTGGGGGGAGTTATTTGCACTCCCTTAATAATTCACAGACTGTCACGCAGGTATTTCATGGAACAGCACGTAGTGTGCCTATTCCGCTACGGCAATCGCGCACCAGCGCAATACTTAAAGATTAGTGTAGCATGGCGCAGACATAAACGCGGCCAGCGCTAGGACCCGGTGTCCCTTTCTCCGGATTTCTTTTTTTTCTTTGTAGTTTTGTTTCGCCGGTTTGAGGTGCGCAAATTTTTTTACCGACGGAGTGGGAAAGATGCAGTGATCGGGGACATCCAGGCGGAGATAGCGGCGCGGTCTGAGAGAGAGGCTCCGCGATGCGCAGACAGCAGCGGGGCTTTCACTGATTTCTTGGCACTTGATCCAGGCTCGCTCCCGACTGCTCCGCGCACGCCCCCCGGGGCTTCGCCAGCACCGCACTCAACGCCGCTTATTGCACTACAGCGCTTCTGGGTTCAACTTTGGCATCTTCTTTGGATAACTATAAGGAAAAGGCGACCTTCCTCCAGGTAAGGCGGCAGCAGCACCTCGGCTACTGGGAGGCAGAACTAAGTACTGTAGCTTCGCTTTAAATTTCTCCTGCCACCTGTGTAAGACATACATTTATTAATGCGTTGGAGAATGCCCTAAGAAACAACTGTGAGGGAGAGAAAAAAACAATTGAAACGACAGATCCACATGTGCGCAGATGTTTTATAACGTCGGTGGGTGACGGAGAAGATCCTCCAAAGTTATCTTATGGAATTCCCTGTGTTTACAACAAAGCGGCTGGCATTAAGAATAACTATTGCCAAGATATATGTAATGTAGCAATTTATCCTGCTACAGATATTTAGAGCAACAGCTTTATTCTACGAAGCTGAAAACTGTACTTCCCCTTATATGGTGTATTGCATTTGCACTTTAATGCATTTTTCTGGGGGTAAATTGGATCGCTTTGTCTCGTGGTGTAACGCACGCATCTTTCTAATTTCATCTTTGTGTCTATTTGTGTAGGTGTAAATGCCAGCTATGAGGGAAAGAGTATTTGACACCCGCTGTTTATTCGTCTGCCTTTCTTTAATGGTGCTTTGGCATAAAAGGTAAGGGTTACACTTTGCTTTTTTGCTTCTTTTGTTAGTCGGTGTTATTATGCCTGGCGAACACGGTGTACCGTGTCTGGTACCGGCCTCCTATTTACGCTGATGCTTTTAATTGGATTCAGCGCAACTGAAACTGTCTGAAGAAAGAGGGGAGGAGGCATCGAAATTAACATCATCGCAGATTTCACGGAGATGGGGGAAAGGGAGAAGGTCCGCCGTGGTTTATTTACAGGGGGAGATCCGTGTAGCATGCGCTCGGACGCAACTCCTCTAGGTGGAGATACCATGCAGCTCCACGGATCAGGATCGGAGCGCTCCGGGAGCCGACAAGCACTTCTTTGTTAAGTAAAATACAACAAGGTGGATCGGGCGTGCCGTGCTTTATATCTCATCATCTCTAGTTCAAACCACACACTGCGTTGCTCAAATTAGAGCAATCTGATTTATCAACCCCCCTTTTACCAAACCCTGACATGTTGCGATTACATTTTCAAATAGGCTATAGAGAGTGCAAGGATTTCGTTTCTTTTCGTTCGTGCGATTTTATCGGGGTTTTTTTTAAATGAGGGGAGAGTGACCGTTCTGCAGCCTTGTTTAGCAGTATTTCTAAGTTATGCGGTTTTAGATGTAGTCCGCCTTGTTAATTGTGAGTGGGATGTGCTGTACACGTGAGGACAGGCGAGCCACAGCGTAGGAAACATGTTCAGCAATTTTAATGTAGAAGACTGGCGACAATTAAGAGTAGCCGATCGATAAGATTATCATTGATTGTAAAATGCAAATGTAAAAATGCACTCAGAGTTTATTTGAGATGAGAATACTGTCTGCTTTGTTAAAAACCACTCCACTACTCCGGAGTGGGACGGCGATGTGAAGAAAAATATTTTAATTTCCTGCTCAGTTATTTATTTATTTATTTGCCTGGCTGCTGTGATCTGATACGGGGATGTTACGTCCATGTTCTGGGGGGAATTGCAAATTAACTGACGTGACAGGAGCCACTCCTATGCCTTAAAACCAGACGCAGAAGCTTGATAACACGCTCATTTACCAGAAAATTACATAACTTTACTATTTTTAGGGCAAGTGGGCACCACGGAGAATAGCGGAGGCACGTTATGCTCTGTCAGTATCTGAGTAACAGTGACAAGCGCCGGATTTAGAGGGGAAGCCGGGCACGTGTTTCTCCGGCACCTGATGCGTCGCGCGGGGGGGGATCTCGACGCTTACATACGACTCTTACTTTGACAGCTTGAGGGATTGTGTTCCCAGCTGTGCCTATTGCTGCCTTCCTTAAAAAAATAAATAAACGGCATATTCGATGGCATATTCAGCCTAAAAGGAAAATAGGTAATAATAGCAATAGTCAGGGGGAAAATAAATGTTCTGCGCAGCTCCCCCACCGAGGAGAGTGTCAATCCTGTCCCCGGAAGCACCAGGTGTATGTCATGGGCCCTCACACAGTCATGTCTTAAGGCCAGTTTACACTCACCAGTTCACCTAGACAGCATGTCTTTTTTCTGTGGCAGGAGATCAGATCTCCTAAAAGGATTGGGAGCGAATACAAGGAGAAAATGCACACTCTGCAGGGGTGTGTACTTCAGCCGGAACTGCAATCTGGCCAACGTGACACCCCAAAGCTAATAGGAGTGTAACAGAAATAGTGATACTTCAGGGACTTAAATGGGTTTGTTAAAGGACTGATAGCTTTGGACTCACAACACCATAGCTAAGTCAATTTATTTATTGCATGTTCTGCTTCAGTGCCAAACTTTTGTACTAATTTGTGCCAGCCTTTCCAATCAATCAGGTGGTTAGCTGTATCCGTCTGTCTCTATCTTAATGTCTTGTCTTAAAATGTCATGTCTATATTACGTTTATGTCTTAGCATTTATGTTCTATTACGTAATGTTATTCATTTGCACTATGAGCAACGAGAACAATATTTCAGCTCAGCGTATGACTCGACGCGTCGTGTGTGTGAAGCTGACAGTAAAAGATAGGTTGATTTTTTCATTTTAGTGAATTATCTAGAAAGTTCTCTGGGTTGCTGTAGAGAGTTTATTTGTCAGAGCTGCAGCCAGCAGATAAATATTCATAAGAACATAAGAAATTTACAAACGAGATCTGGTCAGATAGACAGAAAAAAAGTTTGCTAGAACGTAGGTGCACTCTGTGGAAATGAAAGTGAAGCAAATTCTGATAAGCGTGGGCAGTGAAAAGTGCTGCCTTTGGGTTCAGCTCTGTCAGCTGTCTAGCAATGTGTGACGGGAACCTGGATGCTCAACATGTGACATGAACCAGGATGACATATATGACAGAGGAGGGAGATCTTACCAAGCTTGTCCTTGAACTAAAATGAAAGAGTTTGTTACAACTTATAAATCACCACAAGAACTTTAGGTGACAGTTAAAATGTGTCATTCCACTACACTGAACAAGCCAGCTGACTGGGACAATTTGTATCTCATTATAGTGACTCAGTTGCCCATTATATCCCACAGAAGACAACATGATTTGCCGGAAAATGCTCAGAAAATGAATGTGTGTTTTGGAATTGCTGGTTATTTTTCCTTAGAGACTCTGTTGTTTGCATTCTTGAATTTGTGAAGCGTTTGCTCTAGAGGAATGTCTCAGCTATGTGTGTTGTCCTTACTCTTTACTGTAGAGCAGGGGTGGCCAATCTTATCCAGAAAGGTCCAATGGGTATGCTGGTTTTTGGTGTCAACCCCCTAATTAGATTACTAATTAGAGAACTGATTGGCTGAAGAGTCCTCATACCTGTGTTTGAACAGCTGATCTGGGGTGAGTTTCCCGAAGCGTTCTTAACGCTACGTCGTTCTTAAGTTCTGTGTTAAAAGATAGAACTAACGAACGACATAGCGTTAAGAAGGCTTCGGGAAACTCACCCCTAAAGGTTACCCCAAAAACCTGCATACACACTGGGCCTTTCCAGATAAGATTGCCCAGCTCTGTTCTAGAGGAACATCTCAGCTATGTGTGTTGTCCTTCCTCTTTGCTCTAGAGGAACGTCTCAGCTACGTGTGTTGTCCTTGCTCCCCAGGTGTGCTGAGGCTGACCCTACCACAGATGCTTTCAAAAACAACATCACTCTCTTCACAAGAATCCTCGACAGACTTCTGGATGGTTACGATAACCGCCTAAGACCCGGATTAGGAGGTGAGGGAGTAATGCAGTGATAGCAGTACCTACTACTGCTGAGCACAACTCTGCTGTTATTGTTGCTTAAGCTGCACACTGATAATCTTCCTAATATATGCAGGTAACTGCCAAAATAAAGCAATCAACTGAGTAAATGAGGGATACATAAAAAGAGATGCTTCCACACCAGTGTGGTTCCTGAATTAATTAAGCAATTAGCAAACCACTCTGCTTAGGTTCCTGTTGAACAGTGCAGGGCAGGCTGAATAGCCCACACTTTGGTTCCACTTGAGCATGTGCTCTACTGCGGTTCAGCCCACATAATAACAATGTGACTTTTGGGTTGCCGGCTCTCCTGTACCTGGCGTGACACTCACTTTAAGACTCTCATGCGCACGCAAGAAATCTTGTGTCTGTATTTTTCCATCATAAACCTAACATTAGGTACATCAAAAGCGTTGGGGTATTTTGCAGTCTTTACAGATGATGTTTTTTAAGATACTTTATTGATCGCCGTGGGATCACCACCTCTCCCAACTTCTCTCTGTAAGTGAGAGCAAGCTGGGCACGAAGGGCAGCCACCCATAGCAGCGCCCAGAGATGCAGGGAGTTAAGGTCCTTGCTCAAGGACCTGCAGATGTGCCGAGGGCAGGATCAAACCGGCAACCTTTTGATCACAAAAACAGAGGCTTAGCCCACTGAGCCACATGTGCATGTGTGTGCAGACTTCTCTGGAATGGAAAACCTTACTCCAGCCAGCTGACCAAAGCTGGCCACCCTATGACTTTAGCCTCTCCTTTAGCAATACTCTCGATGTCTCTCTTTATTTGAAATTAAATTCGACTGTCATCGGAACAAATTCATCTCTGCGCCGCGCACTGGCAGCGGGAAAGCCGCTGCAGCGCACGTTAATGGATTGTCCACACCATGAGTTCGAAGGACATTGTCTCGTGCAATCGTGAGAGACTTGATTATTGGGGCACGTTTGGCAGGAGCGTTAGTAACGAGGACTGATCAACTGATGTTTCATGAGCAGTAGTGGCTGGGGTACCATGGAGATCTGAGGGAGGTGCATCAGACTAGTCTGTATCAGCAGATTGCTAATATCAGTCCATAGCACAGACAGTTTCCTTAATAGAAACCATATAGAGTTTTGGAGGAACACTTTATTTGGTCTGTAGTGTATAAACACCTTATTATGCCTAGCGATGCACTTTGGCGACTAAACTGGGGGGAAAAAAAGGAGCATCGGTCTATTGAGATAGGAAAAAATCCAATGGACAGGTGATTCATCCTGTTCTACATCATGTGGCACAAACCAGGAGAAACATTTAGGACTGAGTGCTTGTTTCCTGCAATGAATGGTCATGGACGTTCTTGTAATGTGTGATGCAGCTTCTTGACACGGTTTACAGCTGCTCAACCCTCAAAAGTCATCCTTCCATCATATTGCGAAGTACTTCTACCCTATTGTGAGCGGGATCTTCCAGGAGCATAACGATAATCCCAGCCACAGCGTACCGTCGGACCCTGAGTGGCCTCATGCGTGAGCGACCAATGCAAGAAACCCTATACTGCACCAATCACTAGATCTCAACCCGTTTGACAAGCCAAACTGGAGATGCTGGAACACCAGGGCCCAGCATGATCCTCCGCCGTCTTTTGGAAGCACATCGTCACATCTCTCCTACTTCACGTCGGTGTTTATTTTAGCAGTTACCAGTACGTTTGCTGAGGAACTGCTGTTGGAGAACATGGATGGCATCTCAAACTCATTAGGTCCCCTGTTCTGAATTGATTTTTGTTTTGAGTTACATCTTCATTAGTCCGCGTTCAGAATATCTCCAGTGTGTTGAAATATTCCGAAAACACTGCCTTTTCTTTAAATGCATTGTACGGGAAAGATTGCTGGATTGTAATTTCACTGTTAATGGCGCCAAACTAATTGTACTATGATTTCCTTTATATATTTTTTTTCTCCATGCTAAGCTTTGCTTGGGGGTCATCCTAAGGGCTTCGTTAATGAGAATGTCATTTAAACGCGTGAACATGTTTCAGTGTCTGCTTGATGGCGATAAACACGATTCCTGAAAGCCACACAGTTCCTGGCTGCTTATTTGATTAATTCAAATGCGTAATAAACATCTGAGGAAGAAGTTGATTATTCGAAAACCATGAGTATCTGCTGTCGAGGACAGGCATATTCTGCCAGTCTCATTGATGAAGGAGGCTTTGCTGCATAGAGGAGTGTGTTATGTTGTTGTCTGTGAGGATACCCTTTGACTGTTGCCACCTGGCAGTGGACTAAAATAATAGCAGAACTGATGTTGGGTTTCTGAAGCTATTAAATGCATTATTGTGGAAATAGTTGTGCAGGATTTTCAGTAGGCAGTGAATGTCACAGATATTTTTTCTGTCAGTGGAATCCACTGCGAACACACCAGTTAGATGTTGTCAACGTCTCCACTTTTTGTGTAAGTTTAGATCTCAGTTTGGTTCTAACCGATGCTGTGCGCAGACTTTTTGGATGGCGGGGGCTCGTAGGAAAAAGGGAACAACACCCCCCCCCCCCCCCCCCCCCCCCCCCCCCCCCCCCCCCCCCCCCCCCCCCCCCCCTTTGCTGTCATATTTAAAAGGCATAAACAAATAGTTTGCACTCTGCTGGTACCTCAGAGCATGAAATAGTGACTTTGCTGGTTTCAGACTGGTTAAAAATAACCTAGAAGAAAGGAACAGTAGAGGAAAACCAACAGAATACAGAAATATTATGACTGAACAGCAAATATTCCTGACAATCTGGACACTTGACGATGGTGTAGAGGAACTGAGAGCAATGGCAGATATCACATGTTGCTATTGTTTCAAGCTTCTGAACTTCATAAATAATAATTAATGCTTCCCTTGTAGGTAATTGCTTTGGGGATAAAATAATGTCCGTGGAGGGGGAGAGCCGGCTGTTTAGATGCTGCAGTTAATATACTGAGCATGTCTGTGCCTTTGATAATTGCTACCTGAATGGTTTCAGCACGCATGCTGTCCAGAATGCTTAAGCTACAAGTCATTTGTGTGCGTGGTAGTAGACGAGAAAAATAGTGTGTGGGCGGGGAGGCTACTCTACACAGGAGCGGCGTTAGTGCTGGACCTGCTGCGGGTGGGCTGGGCTGGCTTGCCCCCATGCTGTCCTGCTAGAGTGACCCACATTCGACCTTCGCCCTCCGGCCTGATCTGATGACAGAAACATGGTCCAGGGGCAGGAGAGGGCTGAGCTGATTGGGTAGAAGTCTCTAAATCTGATTGGCCAGGAGAGAAAATGCCTTTTCAAGGGCAGCGCCAATCAATCTGTGGTCATGTCAGCACCACACTTAATGCATATTTACTTAAATCAATGTTTCCCAGTCTGGTCCTCGGGGACCCATAGACAGTCCATGTTTTTGCTCCAGGAGCTGGGAGGGAGCAAAAATGTGGACTGTCTGACAGGGTACTTGGTGGGAGTAAAATCATGGACCGGCTGTGGGTCCCTAAGGACCGGATTGGGAAACACTGACCTAAAGAGTAGCTGGTGACCAATATAATATCTACATGCAGTGAGAATACGGCGACTTCTGGTATTTCAGGCTTGATTTAAACAGGGGATGTTTGGAAAATGCGTGACTGACTAATCAAACGATGCCTCTGTAAGGAGATTCTCTGTTTGTTCCCTTGTAGAAGCAGGTGTTTTTCTGTTTTTAGTATCCGAAGTCACAATTATGCCCTGAAAGCTTCTAATTACCTCCTGACTGCCGGCTGCGGCAGGAACGGAACGGCTGTCTTTCGGTTTAATTTCGGAGCGCCTGAACTGAGCCCCACGTGTGGATCCAGCCCTGGCGTCTGCTCCGCTGGGTGTTATTCTAGGCCAAGTAAACATCGCCGTTCACCCCTTTACTCAGGAAGAAATAAGTCTATTCTGACCCGTACTAAGATGCCTACAAATATACATTGAATTGTGAGTGCTTTGCTTTGTGTAAGACCCTTTGACATCTTTATAAGGATAAAGAAGAATGCACTCAGTGCCTGTGATTCATCAGAAATATGTGCTATGCATTTAAAGCAGACGTACAGCCGTTAATGTTAGGAATCATTCATAATGGCTTTAGAACTGAGCTGATATCCAGTCATGATACGTGCATCATTCTTTTGAAAAATGAAATGAACAAAAATGGTTCCTTAGCTTTGTGACTGTTCTAGATTTTAATGCAAAAAGGTGCTGAAACACTAATGAATATGTAGCTCGCCTGCTCCCGTGTGAGACGGGGACTTTATAGAATCGCGATCTGTGTTTATTTGCAGCCCTTCCAGCTGGTTTTGACCGGTGCTCCCCAGGGACTGAGGTGACTCAGTGTCCCCCGGACACACATCGTGCAGCATCGCGCTACACGTAAACATTTACTCCTCCTGTCAGCAAATTACTTCCACTTTGCATCCACTGCTGGCATGGCTGCTCATTAGGGGCTGGTTTTTTATAGGGGTAGTGGCGGGTAATGGAGGCATGGGAGAAGAACCCCCCCCCCCCCAACCCCACGGGAGAGGTACTGTTTATTTAGCGGTAAGTGGCCAGATGGATGTTTGGGTCTGGAGGATATAGGGATAGATGTAGTTGAGTTTAGGGGGGAGAGTGATGTGGGATTTGTGGGGGGCCGGGGGAGCTTTGTCCCCCTGTAGCTGGGGACGTCCCAGGGTGATACATTTGGGAGGCAGCAGTCGCCTTTGTATGGTCGTCCTCTTGGGGCTGCCTTGTAGTGAGGATAGAGGAAACTGAAGTGGGTCTCCCTTTGCTGGGTCTGCCTTCATCGGGTCTCCCTTCGCTGGGTCTGCCTTCATCGGGTCTCCCTTCGCTGGATCTCCCTTCATCGGGTCTCCCTTCGCTGGATCTCCCTTCGCTGGGTCTGCCTTCATTGGGTCTCCCTTCGTTGGATCTGCCTTCATCGGGTCTCCCTTCATTGGGTCTCCCTCGTCTACCCACGACGTGCTGTGGCAGATGG